CCTCGGCATAAACCAAATCAACCTTGAAGATCCTCCCGATTCCGAATCAAATCTGTCGGATCTCCCTTTCCAACTGTCAGATTTTCCTCTCCAATGGATTCCCAATCGTCCCTTCTCTCCATCCATAGATATTTAAACTCCTCCATCTCTCCCGTCTTCTCATCGTCCTTCATCCCCCGATCTCCGTTTTCCACCTTCGTCTCGAATCCATGGGCGTCGCTCTCGAGTCCTCGCAGTTCCATGTTCTTGCTGTTGATGATAGCTTCATCGACAGGAAATTGATCGAGCGCCTCCTCCAGACCTCCTCCTATCACGGTATTTCACTTTTTCAATTTTGTTTCCCCGTTTTTTCTTCTTCTCCTCCGACCTAGGGCTAATCGGTTTTCTATTTTCTCTTTCGTTTAGTTACTGCTGTTGATTCCGGTAGCAAGGCCTTGGAATTTCTCGGTCTTCTTCAAGAACATGATGATGAAACAGACTCCAAAATCCACTCGAATCATCATCAAGTATGAATCCCTAACTCTCTCTGTTTCTCTCTGTTTTCCTTTTTTTTTTCTTTTTGTTTCTTCTCTAACTTGCTTCTTCTTCTCTCTCGTTTCTCAGGAAGTGGAAGTAAATCTGATCATTACAGATTACAGTATGCCTGGAATGAGTGGCTACGATCTCCTCCGGAGGATCAAGGTTTGCGACTTTGCACTAATTTCCTCTTTCAATCCAATCCGATCCACTGAGAATGCATGACTAATCGATGCGATGAATTTGCAGGAATCAAAATCGCTTAAAGACATACCAGTTGTGATAATGTCTTCGGAGAACGTCCCGTCGAGAATAAACAGATGCTTGGAAGAAGGAGCGGAAGAGTTCTTCCTCAAACCAGTTCAATTGTCAGATGTGAGGAAGCTGAGACCTCATTTGGTCAAAGAAAGATCCGCAAGAACTTGAATCCACTCTCTCTTCAACTAATTTGATTCTAATTTTAGTGATTCTGTAAAGAATTAGATCCGAAACTGACAACTATTTCATTACTAGCAAGTTCTAAACACAGATTTTCCCGGGAAACTAACAGAAGAAAAAAAAAAAAGAAAATGTATAGATCTGATGTTCAATTTTGCCTGCCGATTAATGGAGTAATTTATTTTCCCCTCTATAATCTGCTCGATGAGAATACTGTAAGATGAAACAGGGAATTTTTTTTAAATTAAGTCATAAATTACTGCATCAATTATTCATAAAAAAGAAAAAACTATTATTAATTATTTTAATAAGTAATTATCAATCACAAATTTTTTTTATACAGAACATGTGGGAGTGAGGGTTCAAATTCATGATTTCTCAGTTAGAGATAAGTGCCTCGATCACAAGTTATATTCAGTTTGACTATCAATCAAAAGTCAAAAGTTAGAATTAAACAAATATGTATGTATAATAATTATAATTGATTGATTGATTTGGAACTCCCTCCCTGTACACAGATCCTAATTGATGAACTGTTTTTTAATTACAAATAATATTTGTCAAATATGGTTGTCCACTAATTTTTTTTAAAGATAATACGTATTTCTTCTTCTTTCTTATTCTTCCATCACATGGAAAATGGAAAAAATGTCATTGATGAGTTGTTTTTTTAATTTATATACAATTATTTTATATAAAGAAGATTATGCATATATTCTTCTTTTTTAAAAAATTAATGCATATATTTTTTTTTTTCAGATATTTTCCTCATTTTGGTTGTAGAGGTGGTTTGATTTTATTTTTCTTTTAAATAAGAATCAAATTTGGATAGAGATTTACTAAACAGATATGATTCCAAATTTGTTAAACAAATTATGTTTTCGACAGATAGTAATGCTTTATTTAGGATTAAAGCTGGAGAGCCCTTTCAGGCCATTTTTCTTCTGGAAATCCGCCTTTTCTGAAGGGGGAAAAAAAAGGTGGTCGTTGGTCCATTTATACATTAGTTTAAAAATTGATTTTGTAGTCAACAATTAATTATTACTCCTACTCATTATCATGTTGTATTTACTTATTTACCCTTTTAGAAAGTTCAGAATATAAAATTAAGGTTAAATTACAAGTTTGTCCTTGAATGTTTTAGTGTTGTGTATAATAAGATTTATGAGCTCAACATGTCACAGTAGGAATTGAAATCTCTTTTAATTGAGAGTTGAGCTACTCAGAAAATTCAAATCCTAATTATAATAATTTTTACTTGGTAAATTTAATATTTACTTGATAATTATCAAAATTTGTAGATATTATTATGATCTACCTACAACAGTATCTATATTTGACCGAAGCGATTAAAAACATTTTTTTTATAATTAGAGTAGAATATCTAGGTTTTTAATGTTTTTATCATGGAGGTTGAGCTTTTTATGTGATTTCATTTTAAGTTTTTGTTGGTTGAATTTTAGCACAATGTGATTTCATTATTTTCATTTTTGGACATCTGTAGGAAATTAGCACTCTGTTCTAATAGAGATGAGAAAATAAATGCAATTTAAAATGCTTAAGACATTATTCTATTTATGCAATTTTGAGAAAATGAATGAAAATATGTGGCATCAGATTATGTTGGGTTTTTTGAACTTTTATTGTAAAATAATAGCTTAAGGATCCAAATTTAAAAAAGATGCATTGTGGCTTCACAAATAATCAATATTGGTATTCATAAAATGGAGGGTGTGTCAAGTTCATCCACACAGACATTTAATGGTTCCATTCAAATATCAGACAGTGGTGTTGGCTTCCAACGCAAATAAGCAAACACATATTAAGTAAGAGTTAATTAGTGATCCATCATAGTGAAAAATTTTCCAACAATGTCTAAACAAGACATTAATTGTCGGATGCAACACTGTTTCTAAGCCATTTGATATGGCTTATTTCTATGAACTTGTCTATAACCTTATGATAGCATTTAATGTCTTTAAAAGGAAAGGGCCACCATAAACTTAGAGTGCATAATTGAGTTTTTTTTTTTTTTTTTTAGTAAAACAACCTGGGGTGGAGGTTTAGACATACCATCTTTTGATATTCGTGAATATCCAGATTAGCTTGCACACATCTCGACTAATATCACGGGACAACCGTCTGACCTTACTACATTTGATTGTCAAAGAAACACACAGAAAATTAATTCCTAGGTAGATATATCCATCTTGGAGTTTAAACTCATTCCCTCTAAATCAATCCTTTTGATTTATTTGGCCCCTTTAGATCAATGAATCAAATGGTGGCAAATATGACCATTTTTAAAAAAAATAAATAAATAAAAGTGTGCATTTGTTGGGGAAAATTCAAGATGGTTTACAAGCCCATGTATTTTTCAAAATTGGGCCTACATATGTCCCTTTGGTAGAAACATGTAGGCCTGCAAATCTCATAAACGATTTAAAAAAAAATGTTTAGTCCAACAAAGTACAAATAAATGGGCCTGCTAATGGGCCTGCTAATGGGCCATTTGTGGTAGTGAGCTCACATAATTTCCAAGTTCCTTAAAGAAATATGGTTAAATAATCAGAAATTATCTCACCAACATTGTTATAATTTTAGTTCTTTTAATATGAGCAATGCTTAAGAGTTGACAATTTACATTAATAAATTATGTCTTAATTTTTATTATTATTTTAATATTGATGTGACACGATTAGTTAATTTTATTAGAAATTCATAATTGGGTAAAAAGAGTATAAGAGTAATTAGACCATTTAGATAAACAAGTTTGATGAGTCTACATCTAAAACCAAATTTTTTGGTCACCGGTCTTTGTTGGCCTTTGTTTTATCTAATTCGTCACGATATTTGAGTAGCACGCTAATTTATTATAATGATAAAACTTAAAGAAAGAAAAGGAACTACAAGATTTTGTAGTTTCAATGACTTAATACACGCCACAATTAAATTTTATTGTACCAAAAGTCTTATAAATTTTATCCTCGATGAACACCTCGTGATGCCGGAGGTACTTGATAATACTTGCATTCTACTTCTATATGCAAAACAAACACTATTTATTTATTACTAATCATTTGTCACAAAAATAGACTCTTCAAACAATAACACTTACCTGTGGAGAGTAATGGATTGAGACTGAAAAATGGGAGAGTTCAAAATAATAATAATAATAATAATAATAATAGCCCATGCAATATGTGGTGATTAAAAAGCAAATAATAATGAGATAGAACGATAAGAATATAAAACAGAGATGTGGGTGTATCCTTTATGATTAGGATAAATGAGAGGGTCAAAAAAAAAAAAAGAAAGCACAATGTGCAGGGGAGGAGATTAAAAATAAAATAATGAGATAGGAAAAGTATAAATAAAAGAGAGATGTGGGCGTACCTATGTGATTAGGACAAAGAGGCGTGTGAATAGGTTGTTCCACAAATAAGATAGAAAGGAAAAAATGGGGAGATAATGGTAAAATAGTGGGGGAGTAATGGGATGAGGTTGAAAAATTGGAGGATTAAAAAATAATAAAATAAAAATAGGGAGGAGATTAAAACAAAAAGAAAAAAAGAAAGAGAATAAATAAGAGGGAGATTTGTGCCTGACTTTTTTAGTACGGTGTCTATTTTGTGATTACAATAGAGACGTGTTAGGGATATAAATAGGTATCCTCTAATTACAACGTAGATATGTCAACAGGTTGCAAAAATAGAGGAGAGAGCACTAGGATGAGGATAAATATATATATATATATATATTATTTATTCAATTTTAATAAGTAATTATCAATCAAAGTTAGAGTTAAACAAATATGTATATTAATATAATTAATTGATTGATTTGTTTTTTTTTTTTTTTGTTGAGAAATTAATGAACTGTTTTTTAATCTCAAATAATACTTGTCAAATATGGTTGTCCGCTAATTTTTGTAAAAGACAATACGTATTTCCTTTTTTTTATATACATTCTTCCATCACATGGAAAATGGAAAAAAAATGTCATCGATGAGTTGTTTTTCTTAATTTATATACAATTATTTTGTATAAGGAAGATTATGCATATATTCTCTTTTTTTTCATATCTTTTCGTCATTTTGGTTGAAGAGGTGGTTTGATTTTACTTTTCTTTCAAATAATAATCAAATTTGAATAGAGATTTACTAAACAGATATGATTCCAAATTTGTTAAACAAATTATGTTTTGGGTTAGATTCTTTTTCATTTTGTTTTTAAAATTTGAGAAAATTACATTAGATTTTCCACTGGAGGGATAAGCCAATGGATACCTTAATTTATTTATTTTTTTCTTTTTTTTTTTCGACAGATAGTAATGCTTCATTTTAGATTAAAGCTCGAGAGCTCTTTCACCCAAAAAAAATAAATAAAAAATAAAAAAGGCCATTTTTCTTCTGGAAATCCGCCTTTTGTGAAGGAAAAAATAGTTTACAAATTGATTTTAGAGTCAACAACTAATTATTACTCCTACTCATTATCATGGTGTATTTACTTATTTATCCTTTGAGAATATAAAATTAAGGTTAAATTATAAGTTTGTTCGGAATGTTTTAATCTCTTTTCATCCACTTCGTTAACATTCTATTTTCATTATTATTATTATAATAGAACAATTAATAAAATAACAGTTTAATTGGTTCATAATTCAATTAGTAAAAATATTACTTCCCAACTTAATTATAATAGTTTTTTCTTAGTAAATTCAATATTTACTTGATAGTTATCAAAGTTTGTAGATATTATTATGATCTACATACAACAATACCTATATTCGACGACAGCGCTAAAAACATTGTTTTATAATTAAAGAGTAGAATATCTAGGTTTCTAATGTTTTCATGAGGGAGGTTGAGCTTTTTATGTGATTTCATTTTAAGTTTTTGTTGGTTGAATTTTAGCACAATGGTGCAATTTAAAATGCTTAAGACGTCCTATTTATGCAATTTTAAAAAAAATGAATGAAAATATGTGGCACCAGATTATGTTGAGTTTTTTTAACTTTTATTCTAAAAGAACAACCGAAACTTAAACTTAAACTTATTTATCCCATTTTGCTGAAGGATCCAAATTTAAAAGAAATGCATAATGTGTGGCTTCACAAGTAATCATATTGGTATTCATAAAACATATCCGAATGTAATATCTATATTAGAATTAACTACGACTCCCTTAATTTACGAAATAAAAGTAAAGTGAAGGGTAACATTTAATGGTTTCATTCAAACATCAAACAATGGTATCGTTTAGACAAAGCAAAAACAAATCAATCATAGTGAAAAATTTTCCAACAGAAATGCTTGCATTCTACTTCTATATGCAAAACTACAATTTTCCAGGCACAATGAATTTCCAAAAAAAAGTTTAAATAAACACCATTTATTTGTTACTAATCATTTGTCATAAGCTCTTCAAATAATAACACTTTCCTGAATTTATAACGATGTGCAAATATGATGATTCTAAAATCATTTCCAATCATTGGGTTGAATTAAAAAAAAATTAAATCCAATCTATTTTGAAATCTCATTTTTTTTTCTCAAAAAAATTGCCATCCAAAATAGATCAAATTTGGTAGGATTTTAAATGAAGTTCGAATTCGTTTCAATTTTATTTGATGTGTGTTGGTCGAATTGAAAAACCAGAAGAAGAAGAAGAAAAAAACAGATAAAAAGAGCGCACTTACAACGTAGAGATGGAGGGGTGCTACGAGCACAGTAGCACAGTAGCAGAGTGTGCAGGTAAGGGGAGGAGATTTTGAAGAAATAAAAGAGAGATGTGGGTGTATTATATGTGATTATGATAGAGAGATGTGTCGGCATGTTACAGCAGAAATGAGATATGAAGGAGGAAAAAATCGAGAGATTGCTAAGGAATGAGATTGGAAAAAGTAATGAGATAGAAAGAGTAGAAATAAAAGAGAGACGTGGGTGTATCTTGTGTGATTATAATAGAGATGCATCAGCAGGTTGCACCATAAATGAGGTGGGAAGGAGAAAAAAATCAGGAGATAGGATGAGGCTTAAAAATGAGTGGGATCACAAAAAAAAAAAGCACAATGTGCCAAGAGGAGGAGATTAAAAACTAATGAGATAGAACGAGTATAAATAAAAGAGAGATGTGTGGGCATGTCCTATGTGATTCCTACAGAGAGAGTCGTGTCGGTAGGTTGCATAGAAAGAGAAAAAAATCGAAAGGTAGAGAGAAAAATAGTAGAGAGAGATGTGTCATGTCTTGTGATTACAACAGAGATGTGTCAGCACATTGCAAAAAATGAGATGGGAATGAGAAAATAAGTAGGAGATAGAGAGAAAAATAGTAGAGAGAGGTTCACAAAAAAGAAGAAGCATGTGAGGATATAAATAGGCAAAGTTAACTTCTATCCTCTGATTACWACAGAAATGTGTTAGCACGTTTCACCACAAATGATATGGGAATGAGAAAAAAATAGTGGAGAAAAAGATGGGATGAGACTAAAAAATGGGAGGGTTCACATAAAAAAGGAAGTATGCAGGGAAATAAATAGGTAAAGTTAAGTTATATATAAAGTAAAAATATGAAGAAAAAAAAGGTGGGAGTTGTTCTTTTTGTAGAAGTAGGTTAGGATTCAAACTCTTAATTGAATACATGTGCCTTAACCGGTTGAATTGTACTTTGCCGGGTAAAAAAAATAAAAAATTTGGAGTTATTATTTATAATTTTTTAGATTTATATATAATTAAAACGGTATAATGGTAAAACATTTACTTTATTTACCTTTATTCCCAGCATCAAACAATTTTTTTTGTTGATTTGAAAATCAATAAAATTTATTGGTTCCAAAAAAGAAAGGTCAGAAAATTTAACTCCTTTCTATCTGATTTAAATCAATCTCCTTCCAATTTTTCATGCCCAACAAAGCTTTAATAGAGGCTTTTGGGAGCTCAAACGTCGGGGAAAGAAGCAAGACCTAGGTTAGGTTTTATAAATAACTAGTAAAAAATCTTTTAAAAATGAGAGTAGCTTCATTTTTTGCTCCAAATTTAACTACATGAGTCAATTTTAACTTCAAACTTTCCATTTCACCTCTTCAAACCCTAAATTATAATAGGTATGGCAAGTTAAACCTTTTAAAGTTATGCTCGAAAAATTATAATATGCTAGGGTGATTAAAAAGAAAAATGTAGAAATCAGATGGAAAGAAGAAAAAAATCCGGGGATAGAGAAGGCTGAAAAATTGGAGGGTTAAATTATAATAGATATTGTAATTTAAACCTTATAAAGTTATGCTAGTAGATGTGATGCAACTAGCCAACTATTACTCTCAATTATATAAATTTGTTTTTAAGGCTTCCGATGAAATAGGAACATTCTTATAATTGAGCAAAAATGTTTTCGTGGGTATTAGTTTATTAGTTCTGATGGATGCTTCTTTAGTTGGATTTTTACACGTTGATGAGTTTTAGTATTTTCTATTTGTTCGATTATTTTGAAATCTTAATGGATTTTGAAATCATTTCCGTTTTTTCGTTTGAAAAAAATAGAGAATTAAAATTACTAAAAATCACATTTTTTTGTCTAAATATTTTTCGTTCCAAATAACTCGGATTGGACGAGATTTTAAACTAATGATTAAAAGAATTCCAATTTTACCAAGGAAAAATAGATATTTACATTCGTTCGCTGTGTTTCTATAAGTTTCTTTTTACTGTAATAATAATAATAATAATATAATTTTTTTTTTATCACCGTTCAAGAAAGTTCGTGTTGATTTTTTTAAATAAGGATGGCATTTGCAAGTTTTTTTTTTTTTTTTTTTAATTTTGTTAGGTTTATTTGATTAAATTAATGATTAAATTATTATTGATATAATATTCTTAAAAATTATAAGAACGAGAGTAAAACGTTCTACTTTATTTTAATTTACTAGACATCTAAACAATTAATTTTAATTTCAATAATTCATAATCGATTTAGTTAACAATTAGGAATTCAAAATCATTTCCGTCATTTAAAATTATAGAATTTGAAGTCATTTATGATCATCTCCATATGTCAAAGTGAGCATAAGTAATCAGAATCTTAAAATGTCTAATGAATAATTGAACTTTACAATTTTGTGTCCAGTAATCAGAGGCGTTGAAACCAATGACTTGAAAAAAGCGATCAATCCAATCCAACTCATACAGTTTATTTATTATCCAACAATTTTTTTAAAAAAATTGTTGTTTGGGTTTCGTGTAACTTTTCACCATATAAATATTAATATATATATATTTTTAATATTTTTAACAGAGTGATCCAAATCACCAGAACCAACCCAACCAAAATATTTCAAGGTTTGTTTGGGTTTGGTTCATTATTATTTAATAAAGATTGTTTGAGTTTAATAAATTTACGACCCGAACAATTAGATTGGATCTAAAAGTACCTCAACTCAACCTAATCGAATCCGTGAACATTCTCAAGTAGGTCATTAATCGATTCGATTTAGAACATGTTAAATATAAAATTAATTTCAGCTCAATCTCTCAATTTTAGATTGTCGAGTAGGTCAGTAATTTATTAAACACAAAATTGAAAAATAAATACGAGTTGCATTGGATACCCATCAACCATTCGAAATCCAACCCATGACAAAACAAATATAGAAACTTACGGCAAAAGAAAACAGGCTACCCTTTAGAAATGAATGGGGCTAAAGTGTAACAAAAATTAGAAAACGTTATTTATTAATTCTGTATGTGTAGTGGGCTATAGATTAATGAGTTCTTAGAAGAGTGTGCAAATAGAGGCAGTGCTGGCGAGGGAAGACTGAAATGAAATAGAGAGGAGCAGGAGAAGCGGGAGAAGCGGGAAATACTCAGCTGGGTGTCTTCTGAGACGCCATTGTATTCTTCGCAAAGGTACAAAGCTCTAACTTCTTTCTTTCTGTAGCTCGTTTCGAGACTGACACTTGCTTTTCATTTTGCTTTTGGGGTTTACTTGTAGGGTTTTGAGCTATTTCGGTGCATTTCGTTTAGGTGCATTTCGCCCCCTCCTGCTCCTTTTCGTTTTCTGGGGTTTGATTTCTGTGGAAGCGAAGGAATTTGGAGCGAAGGAGGGAGAAAAATTGTGGGGCGATTAAGTTTTTATGGTGGGTTTGTCTGAGTAAACAGGAGGAGTCAACTCTCGTTTTCCCAGAGGGGTTTCAGGTTTGATAATGTTGGATAACGTGTTTGCTTTCTCCCTTTTGTTTTCTCATTTTTGCATGGAAACCAGGATGGTCTCTTGTCTTTCATACCGGGAAGTACTCGGAATCAAAATTCTCACATTTTTGCGGCATTATGGGTTTATGATTGTAGCTCTCAGTACACT